CCGTTTAAAAAAAAAAAAAAAAAAAAAAAAAAAAAAAAAAGTCCTCAGTGCCCTGTCCCCGACGAGCAACGTGTGACTTCTCCGGCCGGCGATTAGGGCAACCTCCAGCTCGCAATCGCTTTCTTCAAAGCTTCAGCCAGGGGTGCTACCTAGCTGCTGCATGCAGGGCAGGTAACTCAATTAGTCCTTCTAACTGATTTCTTTTCTACCGACTCCCCCGCTGTCATATTGTGTGGTCCCTCCCGGTCAACCTTCAATGGTCCCTCGGTCAACTCTTGACCATCCCTGATCCTTGTCCACGCCGCTGAAATTCTTTATTGGCTCTGCAAATATGGTATCGAAGGATCGCCCCACCTTCATTAATCGCGAGTGACAATCCTTACATCTCCTGCTCACCCTAAGTCCATATATGGACATATTTAATGCTTCCATGGATTAATCGCCCTGTACCGCTACCCCGCCTTGTTCATGCCATCTATACCTCGTTCATATAATTATTCTGTACTCACTAGTACCACCACCCGCTCCGCGTAAATACTTTTCTGTTTCACACACACCTTCACTTACGTCTGCTTCTTGGCGCTACCCGCTATGCTTCGCCCATTTTGGCTGTAGAGCCTAGGTGCCGTTGTCGCAACTCGGCATTGATTATTCGGCATCTTTAATGGCGAACTCCATAACATGAGAGTGAGGTTATTATCGAGTACCTGCACAGAACACCGATAACAGTGATAGCGGTGGTGAAAAGCTTACAGTGGGACGAGGGACTAAAGAGTGGGAAATGGGATTTCTCAAGTAGTGAAGGTTGAGGGTTTAATAGGGCTAGGTCTGAGTGGAGGATATACGGTGTTTATTGAATCGGGTTCGGTCTTGATCCTGCTCAAGGTCTTAGATCTGATTCCTTTGTTCTTCCTTGTTAAGTTACTTTCGTTTTGACTGACGACCGAGGTAGGTCAGAGTGGACCCTAGACTCCCCTGGGGTCTCTCGTTTTTCAGAGTCCAACATGAGTGGAAATAACCCGCCTCAGGCAGGGGCGCATCCACATCCACAAATGCATCCTCATGGGCAAGCGAAAACTGCCCCCCCTGGTACGTCTGCCCCGGCAGACGACCTCACAAGAATCCGTGCTCTGTTAGATAGATGCTATGACGATGGCCTATTTCCGGAGACTACCTTCTCTCATGGGGAGGTCGAAATTGTCGACGGAGTAGGTTATCTGAATTTGAGTGAGGAGGTGGATGATGCAACTGTGGCTTGGCTGAAAGAAAGAACGGTCATAGTGATTTTCGAATCTACAGCAGCCACCTTTTCAGTAACACAGCGGGAACAATTCATCCGCATCTATGAGGATGCTTGGTTTCAGGATTCCAATTTTAATCCAACACTTAAAAGAGGCCGCACTCATGGGGAGGGCCCTAACGTAATGTCTTACGTAGCTCGCACTCAACAGATAGCCCAATGGATGATTGCCAAGGGCAATGACTTCATCCCGACCAGAGATGGACCGGTCAGAGTGGCATTTCGGCCCTGGATGACACAGCAGGAGCTGGACCAATTGAGGGACGCTGAGTCAGCCTCGAAATACCGTATTATAGCCCTCAGGGTCCCACTAGGAGCCATATTCTCCCTGAGAAACGCAGTTGAACGCCTGATGGGGCCCATAATTCTCATGCACCCGCCGGAAAAGAGGGACGACGAACCGCGATTAGGGAATGTGAAAATCGATTGTGATCCCTCGGTTAGGGATAATTTTATGGAATGGATTGCCCTTCGACGACCGACGGGCAGCTCCTACGCGTTCAGTTTGCCAACCAGGACACGATTTTCTGCCAAAAGTGCCTCTGGTGGTTTCATGATGAATTTGACCCTGCATGCCCCCGGTTCAATGAACCTATGCCCACTGGGAGAAGATCCAGAGGCCGAGGGCGAGGGGGTAACCGGAATGGGGGGCGAGGTGCCCC